AACAGAAAATCCTAAAACGCCAGTGCAACAATTAGCGCTGAATCACATTGTTAGCAGGAATTCAGTTCAAACAATAATGAAAAAGGAAAAGTTTCACATTTACAAAATCCATTTGGTACAAGAGCTAATCGAATTTATTTATTTAATTTTGGCATTTCAGTCATTGTGCTAGATCAATGAATTCAGAAAAAAAAGCTCTATTCAAAAATGCTTTCAAATCAAGTAGGTCTAGTATCTAGAAAACAAATGAAGCAACAAAATTTTTTTTTGACAAATAATTAGACCACAACTTTTGTACAACTGTACCTAATTTCAGGTGATTTGTATAATTGGTTCTCAAGATATTAAACCGTTTCCATACATTCTAGCGATCTGTACTTACTAATGCACGGTTGCAAATTTGCATTACCATTGTAGCACAATTAAGACAAATTTTTAACTTTACTATGTCCTAAGGTAAGTAATTTTATGTAAGTCGAACATAAATTTGGTCTGTGACCAAATTTTTAAAATGATAATTAGAGAGCGGATTTATAAGCACAAAAAAATTAAGAATAAGCGCTTAAATAAGCACAACATTTTCAATAAAAAAGTTTTACTTTAAGCAAAAAAGCATTAAATAAGCATAACACCTTCATTAAAAAAAAATTATTTTAAGCAAAAAAGCATTAAAAACATAATCATATTACAAATCAAAGAACACTTCTTAGAACTTTGGATAAAATATTATTACAATAATCCTAGACTTTATATTTTACACACGTATTTCAGTTTTCTTTAAAACAATTTATGATTGTAATATGTTCCAAGTTGTCCACTGTAAAATTTTTTCTCCGATCATTTAAAATGTGTTTAAAATTGGAGAATGTGCGTTCAACATTCACACTCGTTGTTGGCGCAAATTTGAATTTTGCAACTAATGTTTAATCTAACTCCAAATTTTCCACCTTCTGGCCTTGTAAAACACGAGCAACGTCGGAAAGAACATCAAAACCTGCACTTTTATTTAACACTTCGTCAAGTTTTTGAGATACTCTAGTACCAATATCACCCCTTACTGCGTTTGCTTGTTGTTTAAATACTTTCACTAAGTTTATGGCATCTACCAACAACATGTTGTGTTTTTCTAACTTTTCTATTACCTCACATACGAATTGATAATTGCTTCTTAGAAAAGCTAGATCTTGTCGTAAATCTTTGTTTTCCAAAATATTTATGCAATCTTTAATCGATTGAGAAGAATCTTCGCTAAACTCCGTAACTACTTCCTCAAATCCTTTGATATATTTGTCATAATAAAATGTGGCCTGTAACCATGTTCCCCACCTCGTTATAATCGGCTCTGGGGGCAATGGTATGTTTGGAAATTTTTCCTTAAAATGTTGTACTCTTAGTGGGGCTTTAACAAAAATCTTTTTACCATTTGCCACTAATTTATTAACAGTAGGAAACTGCAAACGTATTCCTTCAGGCACTCTGTTTAAACCGTAGGCAATGCAAGTAGAGTGAATTAAATTGGGGTACAATATTTTTAGATTATTCCCTGCTTTCAACATATAACGAGCTGCATCCGAGATCATCAATAAAATTTTATTCGCCGGTACGGCATTTGGCAAAAATAGTGACGTAAGACTGTCATTTACAAATCTGGTAATCGTATTGACATTTGTTTTATCTAACATTTTCATACTTACTACATACCCTCGACTAGGGAAATTTTCATTTAAGATTCCAACAATTAAACTTGCCACGTACTTATCTTCCACAACTATCGGTTGTTTCATCGACAGCGAACCATAAATAATTATCTCCAATGCGATGTTTAATTTCGTTGTAAACTTGCTGAAACACTGGGCCTACATAATTTTTTCGGAGAGTACTTTCAACCGGAATATGTCGATTGCAGTGTTTTTCAAGGAATTCTTGAAGAGGGCCTTTCTCCAGTTTTTTTAAAGGTATATTGGACTGGATCATCATTTGACATATATCGAAATTAAACTGAAACTGCTCATCTTTTGTGGAAGTAGATGCAACAGATTCATGTATGGTCTGCTGTTTAATTTTAGAAACTTCAAACATTTTCTTCCTTTCTACATGAAGAGTCGTTCTGACATATTGCGTCACGTTATATTTTTTATCACTTTGAATCTAAAACAACATACATATACAGGATTAACAAAGGAAAATAGATAAAAAAAAATTAGTGGGCTTACGGTTTTCACACAAGCTCTGCAGAATATTTAGTTGTTTCCTAATTTTAATTCTGGAAAATCCCTTATCCACTCATCCGGCGTCGATTTTACTGTCGGCGTTCTTTTAAAATATTAGTAATATTACCAAAACGAACTCAACATGTAACAAGGGAGAACCACGTACAACACTGTACTACGACAGATGCGATAGACTGATGATTGTGAAATAAACGGTTCATTTACTTAAAAGTTTGCATTAGAAAAATTTTAAGGTAGGTAGTTGGGTACAATAATCCTTTTTTCTAGAAAATCTTCAATGGTCTTGCCGCAAAATGCCGAAAAAGAACATCTGGTTAAAAGCTTTAATTCATTATCAACAGAAGTAAGGATTTAAAGTCATAAAATCTATGGAGTATTTTTCCAATCCTATAATAAAATTTTATTACCCAAACGACCGAAACCTATTCACAGAAAGGGTCTTGAGTAAGTGTACTTCAATGGTCAAGTCCAGGTAAAATGCATACGATACGATACGGCTAACTAACAAGTATTTGTCATCCCGACATGCCGGAATTTGAACAAAATATGCATTAAAACTCATATTCGTCGAAAAAAGCATTAAATAAGCATATAAGTTTTATTTTGCATAAAATTGAAAAAAACCAAATAAGCATAAAAAAATGTGTTAAATGACTCCAAATTGTATCATAGTTACAGATATAAAAAAGTTTTGAAGTGCTTACATTTTTCACAAAAAGCATTAAACCTAGAAATTCGCTCTCTATAGATCAGTATCGTGCACCCAGCGACGAATGAACGAACCATTTTGATAGATCCATGTTTCATCCAAATACACGAAAGCCAAATTTTCACAAGAATTTAGAAACTGTAAATATGTTCTCAAAAAAGTATTTTGGCTGCAACGACATGTTTTCGTTCACATAGAATTTTGCGACCATTTACTTCTCTGTGTTTATAACCCATTGACTTAAGAATTTTGTATAATGTGGTTCGCCCCCATTTAAATTCTAACTTTTCCCTAGAATATGCCAAAAGAGTATCTACAGTGAAATATTGGTTTTTTTCATTAAGTTGCCAAATTTGTCGTTGCAGGTCTTTCCGAAACGTCTAATTTGTAAATAAATCCGTTGGTTTTCGCTTGCCAGATAGTGATGTTTTTAAATTTTGGTCACCTGTTGATAAAATTTTCGCCACAGTTGATGTTCCCACCTATGAGAAAAAAAATTAAAATATATTTTACAGCGTATTTTTACATTATAGAAAATAAAAAAAAACATCTTTTTATTGCAATTTTTTGTTGCAGTAAAACTATTTTAGGCATTTTCTTTTTAAATAATATCGCAATGATCTGTGAATCTGTCACAAAGACAAATTATAATTATCTATGCTGACAAAATTAAAACATTTGTTTGCTTGATTAAAAAATTGCGTCTAATAATTCTGATCTAATAAATGAAGCAGAAAAGTGGCAATCCAGCTCAAAGCAAATGTCAACTGACAGACAAAAAACTAAATCATCAAATCAGTTATCTAACTTAAAGAAAAAATATCAAAGCCTACTCAATAAATAAGCTCTCTTGTTCTTATGTAAGAAAACCCACAAGATTGTAATATGATCTTCTACAATTTTCAAGGCGTGTTTAATAAAAATTTCAGGACAAACTAAGTTGCACTTTTTAAATGCCAAAATAGACATACCTAATCGGAGCCACCTTAAAATTCCACTCTTGTATTTTCAGAATGAACAAATTTTGAGTAGTAGGTAATTAAAGCGGTGCAATTAAAAGCACGGACCGACCTCGATAAAAGCAGCTAAAACTCTACCAAATAAGCGAAAGTTGCCAAAACACTGGTAAAATATGCAAAATATGTATGCAATATGCATTTACTTAGCTTATAATCCGATTTTTTCTTTTCGAACGTACACCTATTCATTCTCAAACACCGGTACTGTTGATTATGCTAAATAATGTCCGGTTTATTTTTAATTAAAAACATTACAGAAACCACACTTTCGACTCGACACGACCTTGCAATGTGGTTGAAAGAACAGTGCAACTTATGCATAACCCGTTTAATAGTTTTAAAAATGACAATCCATTTTTTTAACAGTTGCAAATTTATGGCACATAACATATACATTTATGTAGAATAAATTTACAGGTCTTAAAATTTATATATATTTTTTTTTTGTTTATGCAAACGATAAATAGTAAATCTTTCGATGATAATCTACAGTTAGCATCAGTGTTTTCGTAGATTTTTTGCTGTGTGTTGTTACAGCTTTGAAACAACTTATTGTGTTTTATGTTATTGACTAATAAAAAAGTACAACCGTTTCTAACCGACAAAAAACAATACCTCCCCACCGTCACCGTCAACAGACGTAAATACATATCCTGTGTTCAACTGTGTTAAAATGTATGTAAATGTGCCAAAATCATGTTGATTTCAGTGCAAACATCATACTAACAACCAAAATAGGTCATCACTTTAGAAGATATAGATTCGTCTCTATCAAAAAAAAATTGAAAATTTTCAACCCGATTCAAAACTCCTCCTTATCTTTATCAAAATAATTATCCTCACGACACACCAAACCTTTCCGGCGCCACTTTCTAAACAAAATTTTCCACCTGCATTAATTTCACCAAAAATTTCCATCGAAAATTCCTTAGTCACCCACAATTAACCAAAATGCTCCAAAAATTGCCAAAAAATCCCCACCCTCGACCCGCCGCTTCCACTCCTCAAGGTTATTACCCACCTATAACTCCATTCTCCTACATGGTACCACTACAGAATTATCGTAAGACTCGAAGTGTGTTACTCGTCTGGACACACGCGAAATGAAGACACATTCCGATGCCGAGGAGAGTCTCCGTCTGTGGCGGGAATCGAGTGAGGTCAAATGGTGCCCACACGAAGGATCGAAGATCGCGGAGTTTTACAAGGATAAGACGGTTTTCGTCACCGGAGCCACCGGATTTTTGGGGAAGCTGTTAGTGGAGAAGCTGTTAAGGGCATGTCCCGATATAGAGGCCATCTATATTTTGGTCAGGCCGAAGAAGGGAGAAGATGAACACACCAGGGTGGATAAATTGTACAGTGACCAGGTATTTGTTATTTGTATGATTTTTGTTTTTAATTGCATAATTATAGTTGTCAGTGTTGTGTGCGCTACAATGGTGATTCGTGTGGAAAAATACTAATTTTTTTTGTTTTAATTCACAAAATTTCCGCTACGTTTGTGTGTTAGTTGTTTGTGCTTTGGTGTTGTGTTCCAAAAGTGGCTGATTTTTCAATTAGTTTTAACTAGAATAAATTTAACATTTTGCAAAATATACCGTGCGACCGAAAATTTCGAAATCAATTATACAGTGTTCTGTTTTTGAGGTGCAACATACAACTTGTATTTGTTTTTTATAGAATTCACACTTATTCTTGATATTTCTTTTGCAAAAGTTGATGGATAAATAACCAAAAATCAAGAAAATTGAGCCTTGGTGTTTTTCGAAAAAGGGCACCTGTATATTTTTAAGAGAAAAAAGATCAGGTTGTAGTAATAAAATACAAGATGTTTTATTAGAAATAACTACGATATGAATATTTGTAAATTATAATTTTTTCATAATCACTCTGTATGTTGACTCAGTATTATTGATACAACAAAGTGCATATATGTGTATATAACATATTGCAAAATCCATGTTCAAAATAACTTTTGTGCAATTTTTTTGTAAACACTTACATTGCTAACAAAATCAGAAAAAACAAATTTTTGAGCAAATTTTTGAAAATATTAAACTTTAAAATCGAAGAAAATTAACTTTGTAATTCTGATGTTTCAATATGAATTTGACTGAAAATCTAAAATTCGGATAAAATTGTCAAAAATGACTTGTGACTCGTATTTTAGCAAATTATTATTAAATTATTAATAACTAATTATTTAACTGTTTATTAGACTATGCAGTTAATTAAAACAAATCAAAATTAGGAAGCTAAAGCTTCAAATTTAACGTCCAGTATTTTCAAAATTTGGTGCAGGGATTTTTTTATCCAGCACATATGCCATTTTTTCATCACCCTGTATATACTAAAATTATTTTCAACTCTAATCTAATAATACAGAGTGTTCTGTTTGAAATAGAATACCTTATACATATATTTTTTTATATTTTGATTGATTTTTGCTTAGGCTTTATAGCCACGGTTTATTTTTGAAATTCCGCTGCGCCGTTGCCAAGTTTTTTTGAAATTTTTTACCTTTGGAAGGTTTCACAAAAAAGGCAATAGAATTATTTTTGAAATCTGGATCACAATATTTTGTGGAGAGATAAATATAAAATTGAGTTTTAATATACAGTATGTTTATAAAAATATGGCTTCATTTAATTTTGTTTCTTGCTCTGTTTTTTTTTTTTGTTAAATATTTTCTATATTAAAAGTTGATAATTACTGACATTTTTTTAGTATTTAAGTATTTTTTTATGAATATTTGAAAACTCTAAAATTTATATTTTTATACCCAGTCTGTATATTAAAATCTGTTTATGTTCCCATAAAATATTTTAACACAGATCTTAAAAATTGCTAAAGAAGTTAAAAAATGAAATAACATGGCAACGTCGCATTAGAATTTCAAAAATAAACTATGGTTATAAAGCTAAGAGAATACGTAAAACTACATAGGGCATTCTAAAAAAACGTTGTCTGCTCTGCCTAGAAAAGAAAACACTCTGTAGAGAAGAAAATATTTTTGCAGAGAATTGTATATCTTTTCCTGATTTTTGCTACCTCTAATAATTATTAGAAAAAAATGATTCTCAAGTTAATGCTAATTTTAGCAAACGATATACCCCCTAAGAAAATAGAGGGCGGGTGGGCGGGGCTAGTACTTGCTAAGATAAGACTGATTTTGGCAAATAACATATCTTCCACGAAAACAGAGGGTGGGTGGGCGGGGCTAGTACTTGCTAAGATAAGAATGATTTTGGCAAATGACATACCTTCCAAGAAAATAGAGGGTGGGTGGGCGGGGCTTGTATTTGAGAAGATAAGAAAAGAAAGCTTATTGGTTTATTTTATTTACTGTAAAATGGAAATTGAATTCTCTTTTGACAAGCGGTAGAATCTAAGATTTCAAACTAAGAAAAAAGTGGCCGGATCACCCACCCACCCCTCTTCCTTTTTGATCATTCTGTGTTATTGATTCTAAGGAACGGAACTTGGATTTTATAAATAACAGAATCTAGGATTACATTTTTTTAAATAAAATTTAATCTTTACTAAATTTAATTTTTTTTTTCAAAAAAATGCTTCAATTTTTATATTTCTTAACATAAATTTTCAAAAAAAATCGTAACACAGATATTGTTGATATCTTATTTGCATTATTTTCAGGACAAATAATAATCAAATCAGAAAATTAACTGGACTAAAGTAAAAAAGATTAAGGTATAATAAATAGTAAAATACATGATGTTTTGTTGGAAACAATTAAGAAATGAATATTAGAAAACTATAATTTTTTATTTTATATAAACACTCTGTATAGAAAAAAATAATTTTGTTGTATGCTATTCAGGGAACCGTACATCTTTAGCTTCTGATTTTTTCTACCTCTAACAATTTTTAGAAAAAAATTCTTGCCAAGTTAAGACTAATTTTGGCAAATGATATACCCTCTAAGAAAATAGAGGGCGGGTGGGCGGGGCTAGTACTTGCTAAGATAAGACTGATTTTGGCAACTAACGTATCTTCCAAAAAGACAGAGGGCGGCTGGGCGGGGCTAGTACTTGCTAAGATAAGAATGATTTTGGCAAATGAGATATCTTCCAAGAAAATAGAGGGCGGGTGGGTGGGGCTAGTACTTGATAAGACAAGAATGATTTTGGCAAATGACATATCTTCCAAGAAAATAAAGGGCGGGTGGGTGGGGCTGGTATTTGCTAAGATAAGAACGATTTTTGCAAATGACATACCTTCCAAGAAAATATAGGGTGGGTGGTCGGGGTTAGTATTTGATAAGATAAGAAAAAAAAGCTCATTGGTTTATTTAATTTACTGTAAAATGGAAATTGAATTTTATTTTGACAAATCGTGGAATCTAAGATTTCATGCTAAGAAAAAAGTGGCCCGCCCACCCACCCACCCCTCTTACTTTTTTATCATTCATTCTTGTTGGTTCTAAGGAACGGCACTAGGATCTTATAAATAACAGAATTTTTACTAAATTTATTTTTTTTTTTCGAAAAAATGCTTCAATTTTTACATTTCTTAATAATATAAATATTCACAAAAAAATCGTAACACAGACATTATTGACATCTTATTTGCATTATTTTCTGGACAAATAATAATCAAATCAGAAATTTAAGTGGACTAAAATAAAAAAAATTAAGGTATAATAATAAAATACAGGATGTTTAAAGGTTTACATTTTTTTAATAAAATTTAATTTTTACTAAATTTAATTTTTTTTTCGACAAAATGTTTCAATTTTTACATTTCTTAACAACATAAATGTTCCCAAAAAAATCGTAACACAGATATTGTTGACATCTGCTTTGCAGTATTTTTTGGATAAATAATAACCAAATCAAAAAATTAAGTGGACGAGAATTAAAAAAAGATTAAAGTATAATAGTAAAATACAGGATGTTTTGTTGGAAACAACTAAGAAATGAATATTAGCAAACTATAATTTTTTATTTTGTATAAACACTCTGTCTATTGCTAAAAAATGAAACAAATGGGACTGACTTGGCAACATAGCATCAGAATTTGAAAAATAAATATAAAATATAAGACAAGTTATTTTTTTTCTACCTATAAAAAATTCGAAAATTAGGTTTTTACATAAAATCGCAACGTTTGAACTGTTCAATAAGTTGGATATACTGTTTTTGAGTTAATCAAAAAAATAAATTCGTTCTTACTTGAATATTTTGGAACACCTCTGTACACAGTTTTAAAACATAAAAGCTCGCTGCTAAAAAACAAGAGGGTTGTACATTTTAAAATTTTATTCTTAAAATTTATATATCAATTCGGTAGTTTGGATAATTATCTAGATCCCAATCAAAAACAGACGATAAACAAACGCAACTACGTTTTCGTTTTTTAAACTAAGAAACACCAAAAAACATGAAGTTAATTAATGAATAAAATGCCGACACTTATTTTCTGAAATTGCTGTCCAATGATTTAGTTAATCGTATCCACGGCAAAAAATTGTTGTTAAAATAATACTAAATTTAACTCCTAATGCCTTTTTAAGCGAAAACTCGTCAACCTTGCTTTTTGTTCATAACGACTATTAAAATATAAAATTGCAGACAAAAACGAAATTAAAAGTAGACAAAATCCTCGCAACGTTATATTTACATATTTTAGAGAGAGATAGAAAGAGAAATACATAATCCTTTAGCGGTATATTAATGATAATAAAGCCAAATACGTGCTAATAAAAATTATCCATTTATAAACAATAAAAAAGTATTCATTAACATACACAACTGACAATGTTTATCTTAATCTTGTGTATGCAAATATACTTAATTTGCCTTAATCAAGCGCACCTTACGTAGAACGTGCCATAAGCAAATACACTCGATTTATAACTGTAAACGTTCTGTGACCCGTTGCAAAGGTAAAAGTTGAACCTGCCAACATCGGTAATCATTACGTTATCATGGCGAGGTCACGCATTTTTGCACGAATCGTACATACAATTATTAAATTCACTTTTGCTTATTGTTATAATTTTTTTTTATTTATTTATTTACATATTTTTTGTTTCTGCGAAATATTATCCAATTCCGAGACGAAAATTATGTATACTTTCTCCGACTACATTAGTGGCTACCGAAGGTCAGTGACTATCTATTAGCAGATATCTCGCTGCTGATTTAACAACAAAGAAAGTACCGATTTCTCATCATTCGAGCGCTTTCCAGAGTGATTTTTCCGTTTTTTGATAACAGTACTCGTTTAACAAGGGGGAACCAGTTACGTTAAAAGTTAGCAATTAATCAATTAAAAATGAGGAACGCGTGGACTAGATAAAACAAGTTCCCAGGCAGCGTTTTTATTTATTTCGTTTGCTTCTTTTAAATTGTTGTAATTATGTTCTTGATTCAGTTTCACTGTCAATGTCGGTGTCCATTTTTTGCTCATGTATGTAAATTTGAAAACAAATTAAACAAATTTGTATGAATGAGGAGTATGAAATGTTCGTTTGTTTATCACCATGAAACCATTTTTGCATAGTTTAATGTGTTGCGATAGCACATTGTGACTCACCTAATACTTACATATTGCCAATAAAATGTGGTTGGCTTTTTAGGAACCTTTTCATATGGCAGGTATGAATTTATGTATAATTACACACTTTGTTGCTGCTTTTTAGTTGTGTCAAATTTAATTTTTTTTGCGTTAGTGATGCTATGAAAAATTTCACTTTTATTCAAATGGTTTAAATGTTAGATAATATCGTTCTGACCTTTCAAAAATCGGCTATAGGCTGTTTACCATTTTTAAACTGTGAAAAAAAATTATCTAGGACAAGGTTGTACAAGAAATCATAAACTCAACCGAAACAAATACACGTGCTCCAGATTTTGCCTTTCAGTAGAGTTATGAGATTTTGACCAGTTTTTCGCAATATGCACTAAATTTTTCCGAAAAAGGTCAGCAGTTTGATTGAAAATTTTTGGCAAAGTTGCCTAAAAATCCACCAAAAATTTTGGAATGGATGTAGATCGACGAGCTGATTCAAAAAACGTAATCTATGGTCCTAAACCAAAATTTTCGATGGACGAGCTAATTGAAAAATAACCTGTTGATGGACCCAGGTAAAAATTTTCAGAATTTGCGGTTTCAAAATCAAATTTTTCAAATAATGTAAAAATAACTAGGTATGATTTCATTTTGAGCACTCTGGAAAAAAGGTTAGGAATTTTCAAATCTATGGTATTGAGAATGACTTCTGCGATTCAAAATCAACAAAAAAATAACTTTGGGAAATTTTCGAAAGTCCAAAAAAATCTGGATATAGATCTCGACGAAATGGTTCGAGAAACATAATCTATTCACAGTCACAGCACCAAAATTTTCGAAATCTTTGGTTTCAAAATAAAATTTTTAGATTTTAAATATCCCAAAAATTACCCGATTTTATTTTGAGTATTCTGAAAGAGTGGTTGGATTTTTCTAATAAATGACTTCTGCAAGTTGAAATCAACAAAAAAATGTTTTCAGGTAGTCTTCGAAACTGTTTGAAAAAAGGTCAAAATTTCATATTGAAAATTTGAGCGTTTGGCAAAGTTGCCTAAAAATCCACGAAAAATTCTGGAATGTAAATCTGGACGAGTTAGTTGAACAAACAACCTGTTGATGGACGCATGTAAAAATTGTCAAAATTTTCGGTTTCAAAATCAAATTTTTCAAATATTCCAAAAATGACATGATTCCATTTTGACTAGTCGGGAAAAGTGGTTGAAATTTTCCTATCTATGGTATCGAGAAAAGTCATTAGGTAATTTTCGAAACTGCTGGAAAAACGGCGAAAAATTCATTAGGGAGAATTATTTTAAAAATAGTGGGATTCAAAATTGATTTTTTAAAATAGTGTCCATAATAATTAGCGTACTTCATTTTGATGATTCTGAAAAGTGGTTGGAATTTTCGAAGGAATGTTGCTGAAAATAACGTCTGAATCTCAAATTCAATAAAAAAATGTATTATGGTGATTCTTGCAACTGGTCGGAAAAAAGTGAAAAATTTCATGACAAGGAATTGTTAAAAATTTTAAATTTTGGCAAAGTTGCCTAAAAATTCACGAAACATTCTGGAAAATCAATCTTGACGAGCTAATTGGATAAATAACCTGATGATGGACTTAGACACAGATTTTCAAAATTAGCGGTTTAAAAATTAATTTAAAAAAAAAACAAATTTTAATTTGACTATTCTGGAAAAACGTTTGAAATTTTCAATTTGAGCTTTGCACAAAACTGCCTAAAAATTCACGAAAAATTCTGGGATATAAATTTCGACGAGCTAATTGGACAAACGGCCTGTGGATGGACCAAGATTTTCAAAATTTTTGGTTTTAAAATCAAATTTTTTAAATACACTAAATTAACGAGATTTCATTTCAAGTAGAAAAGCGGTTGAAATTTTCGGATAAATGTTGCCAAAGATGACTTTTACAAGTCAAAGTCAACAAAAAAAGGTCTTTATGGCATATAAACTTGGATGAGCTAATTGGAAAAACAGCTTGTTGATGGACCTAAACCAAGATTTTCAAAATTTCTGGTTTCAAAATTATTTTTTTTAAATTCGCAAAAATGATGTTATTTTAATGACTCTGGAAAAGTGTTTGCAATTTTCGAATAAGTGTCACCGGAAGTGATTTGTGCAAGGCGAAGTGAACAAAAAGATGTCTTTAAGTAATTCCCGAAACTGCTCGGAAAAAAGTCAAAAATTTCACAAACGAGATTTATGAAAATTTGAGCTTTTGGCAAAGTAGCCTAAAAATCCACGAAAAATCCTGGTATGTAAATTTGGACGACTTAATCTGAAAAACAGCCTGTTGATGGACCCAGCTAAATATTTTCAAAATTTTCGGTTTTAAACTCAAATTTTTAAAATACACCAAAATTAACTAGATTTTTTTTCGAGTATTGTGGAAAAGTGGTTGGAATTTTTGAAGAAATCTTACCGAATATGACTTTTGCAAGTCGAAATTACCAAAAAAGTGTCGTTCGATAATTTTTTTAAACTGTTCGGAAAAAGGTTAAAAATGGCATAATGGAAAATTAATGAAAATGCGAGCTTTTGACAAAGCTGCCTAAAAATCCATGGAAAATTCTGAAATATTAATCTGGACGAGCTAACTGGAAAAACAGCCACTTTTTTAAAAATTTTCGGTTTCAATGTCATTTTTTTTAAATAGCCCAAAAATGGCCATATTTCAGTTTGAGTTCTATGGAAAAGTTGTTGGAATTTTCGAATAAATTAACCGAAAATGACTTCAACAAGTCGAAATCAACAAAGAAGTGGCTCTAGGTAATTTTCGAAACTGCTGGGAAAAAGTTCAATAATTTCATGAACGAGATTTTTTGGAAATTGAAACTTTCGGCAAAGGGGCCTAAAAATCGAAAAATTCCGGCATTTAATCTCCACGAGTTGATTGTTAAAACATCCTGTTGATGGACCCAAACCAAGATTTTCAAAATTTTTGCTGTCAAATTTTTTTTTAATTCCCAAAAAACACATTTTGTTTTGACTATGGAAAAATGTTTGAAATTTTCGAATAAATGTTACCAGAAATGGTGTCTGCAAGTCGAAATCAACAAAAAGATGTGTACGAAATTCTCGGGAAAAAGTCAAAAATTTCATAAACGAGATTAATTGAAAATTTGAGCTTTCGGCTAAGTGCGTGAAGACTTTCAAAATTTTCGGTTTTAAAATCAAATTCGTAAAACACACCAAAAATGACCAGATTTTATTTCGAGGACTGTGGAAAAGTGGTTAGAATTTTTTAAGAAATCTTACCGAATGTGACTTCTGCAAGTCGAAATCACCAAAAAAGTGTCCTTCGATAATTTTTTTTTAAACTGTTCGGAAAAAGATCAAAAATTGCATAAGGGACAATTAATGAAAATTTGAGCTTTTGACAAAGCTGCCTAAAAACCCAGCAAAAATTCTGACATATTACACTAAAAGCCTACGAAAAATCTGGGATATAAATCTGGACGAGATAGTTGGAAAAGTAGCCTGTTGATGGATTTACACCAAGATTTTCAAAATTTTCGGTTTCAAAATAAATTTGTTTAAATATCCCAAAAATGACTATATTTTACTTTGAGTTCTAGGGAAAAGTGGTTCGAATTTTCTATTAGATGTTTGTTAAAATGACTTCTGCAAAGTCAAAATCTACAAAAAATGTATTTAGGAAATTTTCGACTTTGTTCCAAAAGACAAAAAATTTCATATTGATTTTCTAAATTTTTGTCTTAAAAATCATATTTTTAAAATAAACTGGTTAGAATTTTCGAATAAATGACCAAGAAACTGTTCAAGTAATTTTCGAAAGTGCTCCGAGAAATGTGAGAAATTGAGTTTTTGGCAAAGTCGTCCAAACCAAGGTTCGTGAAATTTTCGGATTCAAAATTAAATTTTTAAAACGCCCAAAAATGAATATATTTCATTTTGACGATTCTGGAAAAGTAATCGGAATTTTAGAAGAAATGTTTCCGAAAAGGACTTTTACAATTCGACATCAAGAAAAAAATGTCTTCTACATAAAAAATCTGGAATAGAGATATCGACGAGCTAAAACGAAAACGCAACCAATTGATGGTTCTAAATCAAGATATGCGAAGTTTTAGATTTTCAAAGTATCCCAAAGATGTTTTTCGTTAAAGTTACGTAATTCTAAACCATTTATTCATTTTTGACGACTCCACGTCACGTATTGTTCGATCGTTTACAAAGTCAATATCACTTAATGCTTTATAACGTGACCCCATAACCTGGTAACCAATTTACAACCTATTATCATTTTCAGATCTTCAGCCCTCTAGCCAAACTATTCCCAAAATTCCAACACAAAATCAGCATACTTAAAGGCGACGCGTCTTTGCCAAACCTAGGTTTAACGGACTCCGGTATATCCACCATAACAGAAAATGTGAGTACCTTGATCACGAGGAACCAAAACCTAAACCTACTTATCTCAGGTACACGTGATCTTCCACATAGCGGCCACCGTAAGGTTCGACGAAAAAATAAACGTAGCGACGGCGATTAACGTCCGTGGTACTCGCGATCTTCTCAAGATCGCCAAACAGTGCAAACACTTGGAGTCTTTCGTCCATGTTAGTACCGCCTATGCCAACTGCAACCAATCCGAAATCAAAGAAGTCTTCTACAAATTACCCATCACAGCTGACGAGTTGATCGAGATGGTCGAGACAACGCCGGAGAAGACGTTGATAGAAGAAACCCCGAAGTATGTATTCAGTGTTTATTCAAATAGTTTAGAACAGAAAAAGTAGAATAGAATGGTTTATCAAAGCTAGAACCTTTCTTAATGACACACGTCAGAATTAAAATAAATCAAAATTGTAAATTAACGATTCGTCTAGAACCTGGTATCAACGAATAAATTTGCTTTAATTTTATAACTTAAAGTCTAGATTTTATTCGTCTGCTTTTTTAAAGAATTATCCAAGGTTGGCCCAACACATATACCTTCACCAAAGCTATTGCAGAAGACGTCGTCTCTCACTACGGAAGAGGTCTTCCGGTCTGCATGGTACGACCAGCAATAGGTACTATCAAGCCACAGTTTCAAACCCAGTTTAATTTTCTCCTAATCAGTTATAGCGACATACAAAGAGCCTCTTAGAAGCTGGATTGACAATTTATATGGCGCCACCGGTATAGTAGTAGGCGCCGGTACTGGTCTACTCCGAACAATACACTGCGACCCAAACAAAAGTGCAGAGTTAGTACCCGGAGACTACGTCATTAACAACATGATTGCCGCTTCATACCAAACCGCAGTAGACAAAAACACCAAGGATATTCCCATTTACAACTACGTTTCCAGCCGCGAAAATCGCGAAAACTGGGAATCTTTCATGTTCAAGTGCAAGAAATGGGGGATCGGACTTCCCACCACTCGGTGTGTTTGGTGTTACAGTTTGACTTTAAACAAAAACTACTTTGTGCATTTTCTTTACACCGTATTCTTACACCTACTACCAGCTTTAGTCATGGATTTTGGACTACTGTTATCAAGACAGAAGCCGATGTAAGACACTTCGTCTACTTTTATGTTGTATATATCAAAAAATCGGTTTCAGTATGTTGAAGATCTACAAAAAGATCATCAAATTCGAGTCAGTCATTTCCCACTTCTGTTCAAACGAGTGGAAGTTCTACAACGACAATACGCAAGCGTTGTGGAAGGGTTGCTCAAGTGCCGACCAAAAGATGTTTCCTTTTAGTATTAAGGAGCTCGATTGGAACGAGTACCAGAAGACGCATTGTTTGGGTTTGAGGACGTTTGTGATAAAAGACGACCCTTCGACGATTCCTCAAGCCAAACCAAAGTGGAGACGGTAAGAGGTTGCAGAATTTGGAAAGTTGGTTATTAATTAAATGTGTTGTTTGCAGGTTTTACTTGGCCCATAAGTTGCTCAAAGCTGTGTTCTATTTTGTGATAGTGTATATGTTGTACTCAGTTTTGGGAAGGTTGATTTCTTAGCCACAATGAAGAGGTTGAGGTTGGTTGTGTATTTATTTATAACTGATGATAATAATAGATATTTAAAATATTTTGTGTTTTATTATTGTCCTGGAAAAATTCATCAGAGTTCTAAAGTAGATTTTTCTTGATATGATCTTCAAGTTTTCGGTGTACTTTACTTGAACTTGAAAAGTGTATTTTGGGTTGTCTGCATATCCTACGGCATTTTCTATTGAGCACCATTTAAATTTACCATTTTAGACATGTTTTAAGTTTCTGATTGTCAAAATAAATCTACACATACTAAGAAAAAAAAAAAAAAACAAAATATAGCGCCGCCCACCCTCCCTATGTCAATTCTGATGATTTTTTTTACTCGTCGCGAGCCAGTAGCGAGATTATGTCTAAATCTCTGGGGAAGACACAATATTTTTTAAAATGAGTGATTGTTTAGTGTTTAATTAATCGTTCTTTCTTCGAAGAAAATTGCATTTTTAAACGAAGAGAGAGCATTTTTCGCTCCAACTTTTATATCAGTGCAAAAACCACATTGAGCTCTATGGGGAAGACCCGGTCATTTTTGTTTAAAGTTTATATTTATCACAATATTTGCTTTTTAAAAAAATACTGAATAATGAAAATAAAGTGAAACTAGGCAACCCTATTTACAAAGTTTTCCGTTCTAATAAATGGCTGAGTTTTACACAGTAGGGAGCCTTACCGACCCTTTCCGGTAATCAGTACAGGTCATAAAATAAAACTCATAAATATTCTTAGCTGACCAACATTGTTGAAACTCTTTTACAAGTCGACTTCTTTCATTGCTGACATAATTTGATTTAAAAATACTGTTTGTTTAACTATGAATTAATTCTTTCATTGCGTTTGATACTAACGTCCTAAATTAGCAATTCTAGTGGAACAGTAATCATGCAATAGATTTTTTTTGGCAAAGTACAGTTATTTTTATGTTTTAGCAGCAATGTGTTCTATTTTCTATTAATTTTTACATATTTTTAGTCACAATTTTGGTAATTATTTTTTACTTTTATTTTTAGCAATAGTAAATAGTCCGAACATGAAAAAATAAAAAAAATAAAAATTGGAAAATCTAAAATTTCGAAATCGAGAAATTGACAATCCTATAACAGAAAAATCGAAACATCGAAAAACTGGAAAATCGAAAAATTAAAAAAAAGGAAAATCAGAAATTTAATAAATTCCGAGAATTGAAAAACTGAAATATGCATAGAAGAACTGAAAACTCGAGAAATTAAAAAATCTAGAATTTTAAAAAATGAAAAATTAAAATATCGAAAAGTTGAAAAATTGCGAAATCGTATCATTGAAACATCGGACAACTGAAAAATCGAAAAATAAAATAATGGAGAAATCGAAAATTTGAAGAATGGAAAAAGTGAAAATGTCAAAAATTGAAATATTGAAAAATTGAAACATCAAAAGTTGAAAAATCGAGAAACCGAAAAGCCGAAAAATCTCAATAATGTATTTATAAACCACAGGTTCAGGATTATGCTACTAAAAAATTGATAACGTCATCTCAAAATTTTGCCGAATAAATTCTACTAAAAATGTGCAAAATATGATGAGTTTTTACTTGTAATTTATCATTGCATTCATATTTTTTAAATTTGCTTATATCCCTAGGTAGCTCAAAAAAATTAATGAATGAGTCCATTTATTCTACTGATTAAATCAGGAACGATTCACTCATTTTCCCAGAAATTTTGGTAATACTGTTATTTTTAGTCTAATCCACAATGATTTACGTTTCCTTGCAAAATGTTGATGATTTCATCACAAAATTGTGTACCTAAAGTAAAAATTTAACTCGAAAATGCTGGATATGTCTCATTGTATTTTAGGTGCCAAGGAAATTCTGTCGAAACAACTTTCCACCAATTTTTTTTAAAACATTAAACCCAAAGATTAAGCCCCACCCATACCTGCCCTGGTTTAACATTGAAGTTTTCATCCAGATTTCTTTAGAAAAATTTACTTTTTTAAACGTGTTTGAAGTTTCTAACATTAAAAAAAATCTTCAGAATTGAGATGGGGTGGGTGGGCGGGGTTTATATTTTACCTTTTTTCTTAGTATGTATAATTGTATTTGTAGAAATCCTTCAGCACTGCAGACAAAAGAAAAATAGAAAAATGAAAGGACTAAAACTGCTCGGGTTTGCTTTATTTTCGTAAGAATTATATTGCGTTTAAATTGTCCTACAATTATCATGACACTGGACAAAATAATTCAATACAAGTTGCTCAGTGATTATTAAAAGGGGACATTTTTAAGTACCAAAATTGACGAATTAGGTTATAAAAATCTTAGTTTAGGTTAAAAACCTGGATGAAAAAATATCTCCTCAACGAAAAGGCATACATGAAAAAAATATATATTTAAAAAAAACATTAAACACAACATTATAGAAACAAATATTTGTTGTAACAAACAAAAAAATGATTAAATAAATAAACGATTTATAGTTACGTCCACTAATCTAAGTTATCGCAAAAAATGGTGATCAAATTAAAACAAGTCGCATTTAACAAAAACTAAAACTACTCAGGTATTTAAAATCAATTAAAAAAGCAAACTATATATTTCTCTAAATTTTCGATTGTAAATTTAGACCTTTGATAGCTTAAAACACTTTTAAGTTTTGAAAACGTGCGTTCCATATCACAAGAAGTGATGGGCGCAAAATTAAATATTGAACAATCTACGTGTTCATTTATGCATGTATTGTTGGTAGCATTTCCATTACCGCAAATTACGTTATTTACTGAACATATGTATAAATCGTATCCTGGATTATTTTTTAATAAAGAACATAATTTTTGGAACGCTGTTTCCTCCACCTTTCCTGGTTTGTTTGTTAAAGATGTATACACTTTTTCCACAATTTCCAAACTATGGTTTAAATTTAAACCTATAGTTTCTAATTGTTCTATTGCATCAACAATAATTTTAAAGTGAGTTTTAATCCACAAGAGTTTATTTTTAACGTTTGCTTTATTCAGGAGTTCTTAAGCTTTTTTAATGTTTTGTGCATCTGTGGCTTCAAATGACATTACAACCTAAAAATATTGACTATAAGAATGATAGCAAAAAACCCTTATATATTTACTGACTCGTTTTAAAACATCAAAGTGTTCTGCATAAAACAATGCTGCTTGAATCTAAATGCCCCACCTGGTTAATACAGGTTCAGGTGGCAGAGGTGTATTTGGTAAACTGTTTCTATAAAACTCTACTCTTATTGGTGCTTTTAAAAAGATTTTCTCAACATTGCTAATTATCCCATTGACATCTGAATAATTCAGTCTAATTGTTTCAGACACCAAAGGTAACCCATGTGCCATACATGTTAAGTGTGTTATATTTTCATAAAACACCTTCAAATTAGTACCAGTTTTGATCATGTATGAAGCACCATCTGATACAAACCATTTAACTTTTTTGTGTTCAGTTCCTTTTGGCCACAATAAAGCTACAAATTAGCAATTAAATAAATTATAATAATTTCAATGCTTAAAATAATCAATAGCACACCCAATGATTCGTTCATAAATCTCGAGATTGTGTTGCTATTAGTTTTATCAAGCTGCTTCAAAGCTAGTAGAAATGAACAACCAGCTTCTTCAGAAGATAACTTTCCAATTACTAAATGGGCTATGTATCTTCCTAATCTGTCCGTCGTCACATCGACGCTAATCCATATACCATTATTGCTAATAGAATTTCTAATTTGTTTAATTAGCTGTAAATTATAAAATTTATGTTAAAAAATTAAAAAAAAAAAAAATTCTAGTGCTCACCATATCGTAATCTTTTGGTAAATAATTTTTTCTCAGAGTGCTTTCTGAGGGTAAATGCCTTCCTGTATATTTATGCATAAAATTTTTAAACTCAGGACAACTAACTTTATTCCCTGGAATATTTACTGCGGTAAATGTCCTACATAAATCGGTGCAAAATTCCGTAAAATCTTTGTCGGAATGAATATTTAATAAAGTCTGTTTACTGGATTTATTCTCGTTCTTTTTATGTGCATCGCCACTGCAGTGTTGTTCAAAGTGTGATTTTTTTTCGCACTTAAACTAGGAAACAAAAATGTGAATATAATTCAAGCTTCAGTATTTTAAATGTTTACTTACAACTTTTCCACACACTTTGCAAATAACTCATTGTCTTTGGTTGAAGAAGCAAATTGAAAATTAGTGTCCAAATTATTCCCTAACCATAACTTGATTTTATCTTTCATGGATGATTGTACCTTAGGCATTTTGAGGATTCTTTACTGTATGCACAAAAATCAAAAACGGCCCCAGGACACTCACTAACACGCAAAGACACTCAGTATCACTAACAATAGACTTCTTTAAATAAAATGCTTTTTCAGAGATGCACCTCCTTCCGGCTATAATCTAACTGAAATGCAGGCCAGCGTTGTCAGCTGGCGATACCAACCCGTACCATTAAACTCAAACGCGTTGTTTACAACCCATTTTTAAACAATTTGCCAGCCAAAGCAATGAATTCATGGAAAATCTCTGTTGTATATAGACGTATATTAAGTTAGTGTGATATTCTGGTATATTAAAATCCCCAGTAATTAAAATATATTGATCATGTAAATGTATTAGATCACTTAATAAATTGAACAATAATGAGAATTCTTCAATGGCTATGTTAGGTTGAGCATATATTACAAAAATAGAGAAGGAAGAACCGTCATAGACACATTTAGCACCAATAATGTGAACCGAGTCTGTTAAAACCGTGGGAAGATAAGTCTATTTGAGTAATCGAAAAATGTTGTGCCTCTAGTAAGATGTAGTTTGTGAAATCTCCTGTCAGATCTAAGAATATTGAAATTCAAAGGGCAGAACTCAGAATTGCTAACCAAGTCATTAAGCCACGTTTCCGAAAAATTACACGATAGTAAATAATGATCGAGATCATTTAATTTTGATTTAATAGGTGAAAGAATTTAAATGAGATTCATGAGTCAGAAGACTTTAGGATCACAAACAAAGTTAGTTGCTATGTTGAGATACCAAAAGGTCATTTTTAAGTTTCTTAATAGCTAGGATAGGAGCATGGCACTTATTATGATCCCAGATAGTATGATAAACCTTAATATCCTCAAATTTATCGGTGGATTTTTTATACTGTTTTGGATCATCAATTTCTGAACAATGGGGACTTGCTCTTACAGACTTTAGAGGAATGATTAAACGTATTACAATTAATACAACGTGAAACATCTAGTCTGCAGTATATCGAACAACTACCAAGCCCGATTAAGCAGTGATAATTTTTCTGAAAACAAAAGACATATAATAACACATTCAAAAGTTTTTTACAACACGAATTAACCAAAAGCCCTTTAGAAAAATAAAAGTTTTTCTTTACTTACACCATCTTATTATTCAGTACTGCAGACAAAAAACATAGAAAAATGAGTAAGCTAAATTGCTCAGGTTCAATTATTCACTAGACAAAATGAAAATAAAAAGAAATATTTCTAAAACGCAAATGAGGTTTTTTTTTGTACCTAGACCTATTACAATGCTGAACTATTAATATACTTACCTAAATAAAAATAACTGGTTTATCAGTTCATTTCAATCTTGTGAAGTTTATATATAAGTATCGCAAATAAAACTTTTCAGTCAAAATCACAAAAATGAAGTACTTCCAAACGATACTTTGCGCCTCTTTCATTATTAACAGCGTTGGGGCCAACCTACGTAAGTCCATTTTCATCAACATAGGTACACATTACTGTAACGATTTTGAAAATTCTAGCTTCTGGTTTTAAAAAATGTAACGTAAAGCAAATCTTCTCCCACTTGTGTCTACGGCAAGCTATTGAAAGTGCAATAAAGCAAATGGATCGTCCTATAAAGAGCTTGGGTTTAGTGAGCCTAGAACCTTTGGTAATACCATCTCTGATTATAGATGCTGGTTCTCAAGTTGTGCACACTCAGCAAATTTACAAAAATATGAAACTGTCGGGTTTCAATGAAACATCTTGTTCCAAAGCTGAGTGAGTTCTTACATTTTTAAAAACACATTCATTACCATCGAATTTTTGTAGATTTAATTATACCACGAAAACGTTAAATCTGGAGTGCGTCGTGCCACGTTTCCTCATGCAATTTAATTATGAAGTAAATGGGAAATATTTGATGATATCTGTTTACGGAAAAGGAACAGGCTGGTTGGTTTTTCGTAAGATTGACACATTTATTAATTACTTACTTATTAATTTAAAATTTGTAATTCTAGTGGATAATCACCTTGAGCTTACCTTTCAGTTTGGAGAATACGAAAAGAAGGGTAAAACATACTTTAATATACTCCATCAACATCTGAATATGCGACCCAAAGATATTGATTTTCGTTTGGAAAATTTGTTCGATGGTGATGAAGAATCGAGTGATCGTGTTCAGAAAATAGCAAAAGAAAATATCTTCGACATGTATAATGATGTTAAAGGTGGTTACGAAGAAGCCTTTGGAAAAGTATTTGCTTACATTTTTGAGCAGATTTTGGAGAAAGTGCCTGTTTATGATATTTTTGGTTAAATGATTTTTGTTGTTTGTAATGACGTTGATTTTATGTACATTTTATACCCTACGGAAAATTAAAATCATAATTTAACTTCAGTTCTATGAGCGATCTCGTTTAAAGATATGAAAGCCGTCTAATGAGATTCAGTTCCAAATACAGAGAATGAGCTTTTTGAAGCTTTCGTTGTACTTTAAGACCAGTGTTGGGGACAGATACTTTTAAAAGTATCTAGATACAGATTGTTTTCGATTTTTTCAAAATGTATCTAGATACAGATACAAGAAAACAGATATTTTTTGAAGCTTTGGCGAATAAAATAACTGAAAACATGTTTATGTATTTTTTTATGTATTGTTTAATGATTTTTTTTAATTAACATTTGGAAAGTATTGTCACCTAAATTATCTCTTTTTGGTGTCAGAATTTGGCTTCCGCTACTAAACACCCGTACCACAGGTGCAGAAGAAGGGATTGTGGTATTAAATTTAAAAAATAAACATTTTACTGTAGCATAGTTATTCAAGACTGAAAAATCTTTTCTTTTTTCCTGCAAATAGGCCATCGCTTCGCTGTTTGAAGCGTCGCAAATTGTACAATATTTATTACGCACGCTTAAAAAGATTTTTTTTTTGTTTTTATTCCCATACTACAGTGTTCAAATTGTGTTTGAATCTAATAATTATCTCCAGCATTAAATTTAATATTTCAAAAGAATACGGGAAATGATTATTCTGTGCTGAAGGTCTGTTGTCGGCAACCTGTCATAAATTATTATTCTTCAATATCTGCTTACGATGTTTTTATGACCATGTCCAGTAATCGTCTATCCCGGTGCGGCAGGTATATACATTTTAGAAAGAATTGCTTGTTCCGTTTAAGGCAAAATAAGTACAATTTCTTAGGGCCGGTTTATCAATGCGCAGTTAAGTTAAAGTAACTGGCAGTTAAAGCTTGTCTGTGAGTTAACCTGTTTATCATTACCCGCTAGCTCAAAACTGGTGGTCAAAGTGCCCGATAAATTAACTGACAGTTCAAACTGTCAGTTAAAGCGTTATCCACAGTTAATGGCAACATAACCTAACAAATCCAAATAAATCTGTTATGAATTTAACAATATTTTGATGAGGACTTATGTTGTGCAACAAATTGACAGAGAAAAGATGAGAAAAACACTTATTATTAGCTGATTATTTTCCAGGTCTAATGTAGGTACCAAAAATTAAAAACCTATCTAATAATACCGCGAGATCGAAAAAGAAATTAATCGAAGTAGGCCATGCACGACAAGCCGTTTGTCGTCATCACGGTGGTAGGGTAATTTAATTTTTTTTATTAAATGTCAAATTGACAGTTTAAAATTAGCATTATGACGCCTACTTTTAAAACACATAAGAATGAATTAAAATCACCGTTTTCCAATTTTGTCTAAAATTTATCCCATTTCTGAAGATTCTAATAACAAAAAAGCTTTAATTTCGTTTGATAACAGTGCAAATTACTTTTGTCAACGTGACGATTAATAAAAAAATATTTTAAACTAAGACAAACGCCTTTTCGTGCATGGCCAACTTTGACTAATTTCTTTTTCGATCTCTCTGTATTTATTTATAGGTGTACCTACTTGTTTCATTTTTAATTTCCAATACTTTTTTTCTAATGCTGAATTTTGCTTTTTCATGATTCATCACGTGAAATGCGATATACAATCGTTGAATACCGAATGCGGATCGAATCTGATGGAATTTTCAAGGTCGGGGTAGTTTTAAACTGACCAATCACAATTCATTTCCAGTGGGGTGAGCGTTACCAACTTAAAGGAGTAACAGCTAAACTTCGAGCTCCGAAACTGGAAGAAACATCGTGCATTGATAAACACTTTACCTCCGTTAACTGCTAGTTACCCTTATCTGACAGTTACTTAACAGACACTTTTAACTGAGCATTGATAAACCGGCCCTTAGAAAGGTATTTAAATCCCTTATAGGGTCAAAGGCTGCCTGGCAGGCCGGAATCACCAGAGTGCAACTTTAAATTTTCAGATTTTTGTTGAAACTCATTTTATTTTAATCTCGTTTCACGATTTCTGAGAATATATCACGATAAATTATTCTACCGAGGGTTGTAAAAATATTAATTTTATTGCCCAAAATTTACACTTAAACATAATCGGCACATTCTAGAGCAAAACGGACCTGCCAAGCCCGCCTCGCGTTAAGTCCAACAATGAAAAAGTGAAGAAATGACACATGTGGCAACAGGAAATGATGCTACATTTGTCTGAAAAATAAAGGTATAAAACAGTAACAAATATGCGATTTATGCGAGAGAAATGTATGTATTGAACATTCGATTAGTCGATTACAGAACTAATTTGTGCTAATTGAAAAAATTAATCATTATGTAACACGCAACTACTGTTTTCTAAAAATAGTAACATACCTTAAACAAATATTTTTACTATTAAAATTACTCTTATTTAATAACATAAATACAACCAGCGGGCCTACCGGACCCGGGTTGCTCAGGTACACAGATAAAATGCATTGCCCCGACAAGGGTAAAACCCAGTGAATAATGAATAATTGTGGTTTATGGTTTTTAAAATACCATCGTACCATGGCTTAGATTTATTACCCCTCAGGATTATATTTAAAGGTCTATAAGTACTGAAGGCTACAATGTGGGAAAATATGAAAATTTCCGTGACAGAACACTATTAGTCGACCTCTTACCTCTATTTTTGTTTATGTGACCAAAATCATCAACATGAAGTATCAAAAATTACTACTAGTATAACTCAACTAATAACTACTGAAAAAAAGTGAAATAAAAAATGTATCTGTATCTGCGCCATTAATTTTGTATCTAGATACAGATATTTTGTGCTTAAATTCGATTTTATCTAGATACAGATACTAGATACCCAAAAATGTATCTAGATACTTTATTTAGATACAAGTATCTAGAAACTGCCCAACACCACTGGTGAATACTAAAATGAAGATTAAGTGAGCTTCCGAACGATTTAGAACTTTTTCATGCTAGCAAGTATAACAAATTCCTTTGAAATTTTTTCGTGTAACGTATTTTTTATTAGTCAAAAATTTTTGAAACTCAAATATGTAACAAGTTCACGACAATTTTTATCACTGTTACCGGTCTCAGTTATTGAAAATTGTTACATATTTGTATAAGAATCCTTCAGTACTGCAGACATAAAACAAGAAAGAAAAGAAATGAATAAATTAATTTGCTCCGATTTAATTATCTTCTAACAAAATGAAAACAAAGTGAATATATTTCTAAAACGCAATAAATTCTCTTACATAAAGGTAAACAACAATATAGGAAGTGATATAACTATGCTGAGTTCTTAATATAGATAAAAATAACTGGTTTATCAATCCATTTTGATTTCGTGAAGTGTATATATTACATCGCAAATAAAATTCTTCAGTCAAAGCCACCAAAATGAAGTATTTACTAACAATACTCTTCGCCTCTTTCATAACTATCAGCTTTGGTGCCAAACTACGTAAGTCCATTGATATCACCATACACACTATTCTAACGATTCTCAAAATTCTAGCCGCTGGTTTTAAAAAATGTAACTTCAAGCAACTCTCTTCTCATACGTGTCTACCGCAAGCTATTGAAAGTGCAATAAAGCAGATGGATCGTCCTATAAAAAAATTGGGCTTAGTGGGCCTAGAACCTTTGGTGATACCATCCCTGATTGTAGATGCTGGTTCTCAGATTGTGCATACTCAGCAAATTTACAAAAATATGAAACTGTCGGGTTTCAATGAAACAACTTGTTCCAAAGCTGAGTAAGTTCTTACATTCTTAAAAACATATCCATTACCATATACGTAATTTTTACAGATTTAATTATACCACGAAAACGTTAAATCTGGAGTGCGTCGTGCCACGTTTTCTAATGGAATTTCTTTATGAAATAAATGGGAAATTTTTGATGATATCTGTTTACGGAAAAGGAACGGGATGGACGGTTTTTTGTAAGATTGCCACATTTATTAATTGATTATTAATTTAAAACATGTAATTCTAGTTGATAATCACCTTGAGCTTTCCTTTCAATTTGGAGAATACGAAAAGAAGGGTAAAACATACTTTAACATCCTCCATCAACATCTGAACATGCGACCCAAAGATATTGATTTTCGTTTGGAAAATTTGTTTGATGGTGATGAGGAAATGAGTGATCGTGTTCAGAAAATAGCAAAAGAAAATATTCTCGACGTGTATGACGATGTTAAAAGTGGTTACGAAGAAGCATTTGGAAAAGTATTTGCTTACATTTTTGAAGAGATTTTGGAAAAAGTGCCTATTGATGATATTTTTGATTGAATAATTTTTATTATTTGTAATGATGTTAATTTTATGGACACTTGACACCTTGAGGAAAATTAAAATCATAATGTGGCTTCAGTTTTATGAACAGTAGCATCATCCTGTTGAAAGTTACCGTAAACTAACTCAATAAATTAAAGCAATTATTTGAAATTCGAACTAATAAAAATAAATTTGACAAATTCAAAAATATAGCAATTATAAAAATTTGGAAAAGTACCACATCTTTTTTAGCACACTTTGCATATGCAGAAAAAAACATGTAAATATTATCCATTCACGACTTTAATATAGTAAAGTAGGCTTTGATATTTTTTTTTAAGTTGGATAAACTGATTTGATGATTTAGTTTTTTGTCTGTCAGTAGTCTGATTGACATTTGCTTTGAGCTGGATTGCCAATTTTCTACTTCATTTATTAGATCAGAATTATTAGACGGAATTTTTTAATCAAGCAAATAAATGTTTTAATTTTATCAGCATAAATAATTTGTCATTGTGACAGATTCACAGATCATTGCGACATTATTTAAAAAGAAAATACCTAAAATAGTTTTACTGCAACAAAAAATTGCAATAAAAAGAAGTTTTTTGCAGTTTCGAAAAGACAGGTCTGATCTTTCTTTCGAAGAAGTAACTATGAGAGTCTCGAACATATTTTCTGTAATGTAAAAGTAGGCTGTAAAATATTTTTTAATTTTTTTTCTCATAGGTGGGAACATCAACTGGCGAAAATTTTATCAACAGGGGGCCAAAATCTGGCAAGCGAAAACCAACGGATTTATTTACAAATTATATGTTTCGGAAAGACCTGCAACGACAAATTTGGCAACTTAATGAAAAAAACGAATATTTCACTGTAGATACTTTTTTGGCATATTCTAGGGAACAGTTGGAATTTAAAGGGGGGCGAACCACATTATACAAAATTCTTAAGTCAATGGGTTATAAACACAGGGAAGTAAAAGGTAGCAAAATTCAATGTGAACAAAAACATGTCGTTGCAGCCAAAATTACTTTTTGAGAACATATTTACAGTTTCTAAATTTTTATGAAAATTTGACTTTCGTGTATTTAGATGAAACATGGGTCTATCAAAATGGTTCGTCCATCCGTCGCTGGGTCCAAGATACTGATCTAAAAAGCAATCCCACCAAAATTAAAAGTGAAGGATCAAGGTTTACTATTCTCCACGCGGCTTGTTCAACGGGGTTCTTGGATGGTTGTAACAATTTTTTAAATTCAAAAAATAACGATAGAGACTATCATAAAACGATGAACGGGACAATTTTTCAAAACTGGGTGGTTAATCAGCTCATTCCTGCTTTGGCAAAGTTGAACCAAAAATGTGTGGTTGTTTTAGACAATGCAGCGTATCATTCGGTTGAGTTGAAAAAACCACCCACTTTTTCTAGAAAAAATGTGAAATGCAGGAATGGCTCTTTAAACATAATGTTAAATTTTTCGAAGAAACACTTGTTGGATTTAATCAAACCCTTCAGAAACAATAGAAAAAAAAAGATATTTGGTAGACGAGACATTAAGAGAAAGTGGCCATGAAGTTCTTAGATTACCTCCGTACCATTGTCAATATAATCCAATCGAAATGGCTTGGGGATTTTGTAAGAACTATTACAACAAGCATATAAATTCTCTACCTTCTTTAAAAAATAGGGTGGAGAATTTATGGCTTGAGGCGCTTTCTAAATGTACTTGAAGCTTGTGGCAAAATTTTTGTAAACATTGTGAAAAACTTATTTTGGCAGATTGGGAAAAAAATATGGGACATCTTTCGGATGAATCTATACCTCCTTTCATTATTTCGCTAGGTGAATCTGATTCAGAATCTGTATTTGAAAATGGCGGTGATGATACAGATTTTCATAGCGAAATAATGGAAATGGAGTGAATTATAGCTTGTCGGGGGGGGTGATATTTTTACGCATCTTTCGTTCTAAATTTACCAAGGTAGTATGTGAAAAACTACCTGACGTACAACAAAATAAGTATAATTTTAGTTAGATCATCCACGTTGTTACTTTGCACCAAATTTTAAGCATTTTCATTTTTATTTGTAACTCTTCATGGACCTGGAGAAGGCGTATAGTAACGTTCTTATTAATAAGCGTTTGGAAGTACTTAGTAAAAGCAAATAAGGAGCACTTACGTAAGCATTAGTGATAGCTGTATAGATAAATTATTCAATTTAAGGCCGGAAAAATATTTCAGAAGAGCTAAACCCATCAAAGGACTAGGGCAAGGTTGTTGTCTTTTACAAACCCTTTTAGTAATATTAGAAAAATGAAAAAAGAAGTTGGAAGATATGGAAATAGGCTGTTCACAAAGGTCGAAATTTCCATTTCTAAGAAGAGTGGGCGAGCAGAACGAACTGATGATTGAGAATTAAAGATGAGATGCTAAATGTGACATGCGACAATAGTCGTATGTCGAACCCCCATTCATATAAAAACAATGTTTAAATAAAATTTTAGTGTTTGTTCCTTACATATGAAATAGACACTTACAAAAAGCCGAATAACTGTTTTAAATAGCGTAAAGTTTTATGCTTTCTAAGAAATAGATACCGTTAACTTGGTCATTGCTACTGAAAACTAAAAGTATCGGCAACAATGTTTATATTTCTGGCATATTTTTTAACCTTTAATTTAATAAAACATAACCTAACGAAAAAAGTTCAGGGAATTTTTATTCTTCTCCATCGAATACCAACAAATTCACTAGATTTTCATGCCCAACCCTACTATATAAAGATCGTGAACGGATAATAGCATGTCTGTTTTTTCAGGATTCCAAAACCACTGTCATCGTTATTATTTGTTGATAATTATTGCTTCAAAAATCAAGAAATATCTTGTTTGATCGTTCTTCCTATATATCTGTGTAAGAGTCCTTCAATATTGCAGACAGAAAATAAAAAAAGAAAAGAAATGAATCAATTAAATCGGTCCCGTTTAATTATCTCTTAATAAAATTAAAACAAAGTGAATATATTTCTAAAACACAAATAAATTTTTTTTGTTCTTAGATCTGAAGTCGAACAGGGTTCAGATCTAACCAAAATTCTCTTACATAAAGGTAAACAACAATATAAGTGATATAACTATGCTAAGTTATTAATACAAATAAAAATAGTGTGTAACTGGTTTATTAATCCATTTTGATCTCCTGAAGTGTATATATTACATCGCCAATAAATTTCTTCAGTCCAAGCCACCAAAATGAAATACATACTAACGATACTCTCCGCCTCTTTCATAACTGTCAGCTTTAGTGCCAAATTACGTAAGTCCATTGCTATCACCATACACATTATTCTAACGATTCTCAAAATTCTAGCTCCTGGTTTTAAAAAATGCAACTTAAAGCAAATCTCCTCCCAGATGTGTCTGCCGCAAGCTATTGAAAGTGCAATAAAGCAAATGGATCGTCCCATAAAAAAACTGGGCATAGTGAATCTAGAACCGTTGGAAATACCATTCCTGATTGTAGACGCCGGTTCTCAGTTTATACACACTCAGCAAGCTTTTAAAAATATGAAACTGTCGGGTTTTAACGAAACCTCTTGTACCAAAGCTGAGTGAGTACTTAGGTTCTGAAAACCACACCCATTACGATATAATTTTTGTAGATTTAATTATAACACGAAAACATTAAATTTGGAGTGCGTCGTGCCACGTTTTCGCCTGGAATTTAATTATGTAGTAGATGGGAAATTTCTGATGATGTCTGTTTACGGAAACGGAACGGGATGGGCGGTTTTTCGTAAGACTGACACATTTATTAATTGCTTATTAATTTAAAATTTGTAATTCTAGTCGATAATCAGTTTGAACTAAATTTCCAGTTTGGAGAATACGAAAAACAGGGTAAAAAATATTTTAATATCGTCCATCAACAACTGCAAATGCGACCCAAAGATATTGCTTTTCAATTGGACAATTTGTTTGATGGTGATGAAGAAATGAGTAATCGTGTTCAAAATGCAGCCAGAGAAAATGCCCTAGAAGTATTTGACGATGTTAAACCCGGTTATGAACAAGCTTTTGGAAAGGTATTTGCTTATGTTTTTGGAGAGATTTTGGAGAAAGTGCCGATTTATGATATCTTCAGCTAAATGATTTTTGTTATTTGTAATGTCATTAATTTTATGTAGTTTTTATACCATGTTGAAAATTATAATAATAAAGAAGTAGTTAACAGAATAAAGTATATTGTTACTTAAAGTATTTTTCTCATACTGCTGTTGGCTATTACTGGTTGCCTAAAAATTTGAGATTTGAATAAATTTGAAAACAGAGCAAAACGCTCATCTGTCTATATTTCACACTAGCTGACCCCGTGAACTTCGTTTCACCAACTATTTAACTTTGAATCTACACAACCGAATGCTTCGAAATCTTGCAGATGTTTTAAACATATGATAAGCATAATCAATTTTGATTCAAAATATATTTACTTATCCTCTCCAAAAAATTGATAACGTCAGCCCAAAATTTTGCCAAGTGAATCCCATCTAAAATGTCCAAAATAGGATGATACTATACTTGTGATTTATCATTACATTCATATTTTTTAGTTTTGCTTATAGGGGATGTCTCAAAAAAATTAATCACTGAGTCAATTTAGCTTTTATGGTAGCTTTTTAATCAAATTATATCTGTTTATCAAGCCCAAAAACTTGATGACGTGATCTCAAAATTTTGCCGAATAAATCCTATCTAAAATGTGCAAAATATCACCAGTATATATTCGTAATTTCACATTGCATTCATATTTTTAGATTTGCTTTTACAGTGACTCAAAAAATGTATGGATCAGTCAATTTATTTTATTGAATAACTCAAGAGTTGCAGGAATGAATACTTTGAGATCTTGCAGACTTTTTAAAGTTATTGTAAGCATGGTAAATTGTTAAGAATATTTATTTATTCCCCCCAAAAATTGGTGGAACGGCTCACTCGATTTTCGCAGATAATTTTGGGAATACAATACAGTTATTTTTAGTATTACACTGCACCAATCCAAGGTGGCATACGTGTTGATCGTTAATGTTGATTAGGTCATCACAAAATTGTGTGAAGCAAAGACTCAACTCGAAAATGCTGAATATGTTTCATTATACTTTTGGTGCGAAGGAAGTTCTGTCGAAACAACGTTCGATCAATTTTTTGACAATGGTTGATATAAATAAAACTCAGTAGATGCTCATACTCGAAATATGAAGTATCTACTCGAATATCAAATCAAAATATTTCTAGTTTTTCTAGATGATGCTAATTAATATTTCAGTAGGTAACAGTTGATGTTCAAGTAGCATTTCCATACAACAAAAAAGGAAAACAGTGACAGTGTTCAACCATCAAGGCAAAAATCGAGTCACCAAAATATAAGTTAGTATGGGGTAGACACCTTGAAATGGGAATCTCTAGCCAGTGTTAGAAAAAACACACTGCACAATTTATGCAAAAATAAAAGTTAATTATCTGAAAAGTTTTCGATATTCCCGCTCCTAATGTGTTTTTCAAACTGAATGCACCTTTTGACGACATTCCACCTTCATGAAAGTCGCCATGTTTAGTCAAAGTTCACTCTTACAACGATCCTACTCGTTTTCTAAGCTGCTTTACAGACAGCCCAGTCATTACTCATTAGCCACGCCGATGCTCATTTTTAGATTAAGTGCTCACAAAACGCGTAGATGTTCAATTTGGGTCCGGAGAGATAGAATGTTTCCAAGTAGGTACTCAGTACATAGAGTAGATGCTCAGGTATATACGAGTAATAATTAGAGATCGGATTTATAAGCACAAAAAATTAAGAATAAGCACTTAAATAAGCACAATATTTTCATTAAAAAAGTTTTATTTTAAGCAAAAAAGCATTAAAAACATAATCATATTACAAATCAAAGAACACTTCTTAGGACTTTGGATAAAATATTATTACAATAATCCTAGACTTTATATTTTACACACGTATTTCAGTTTTCTTTAAAACAATTTATGATTGTAATATGTTCCAAGTTGTCCACTGTAAAATTTTTTCGCCGATCATTTAAAATGTGTTTAAAATTGGAGAATGTGCGTTCAACATCCACACTCGTTGTTGGCGCAAATTTGACTTTTGCAACTAATGTTGAATCTAACTCCAAATTTTCCACCTTCTGGCCTTGTAAAACACGAGCAACGTCGGAAAGAACACCGAAACCTGCATTTTAATTTAACACTTCGTCAAGTTTTTGAGATACTCTAGTACCAATATCACCCCTTACTGCGTTTGCTTGTTGTTTAAATTCTTTCACTAAGTTTATGGCATCTACCAACAACATGTTGGGTTTTTCTAACTTTTCTATTACCTCACATACGAATTGATAATTGCTTCTTAGAAAAGCTAGATCTTGTCGCAAATCTTTGTTTTCCAAAATATTTATGCAATCTTTAATCGATTGAGAAGAATCTTCGCTAAACTCGGTAACTACCTCCTCAAATTCTTTGATATATTTGTCATAATAAATGTGGCCTGTAACCATGTTCCCCACTTCGTTAGAATCGGCTCTGGGGGCAATGGTATGTTTGGAAATTTTTCCTTAAAAGGTTGCACTCTTAGTGGGGCTTTAACAAAAATCTTTTTACCATTTGCCACTAATTTATTAACAGTAGGAAACTGCAAACGTATTCCTTCAGCCACTCTGTTTAAACCGTGGGCAATGCAAGTATAGTGAATTAAATTAAGGTACAATCTTTTTAGATTATTCCCTGCTTTCAACATATAACGAGCTGCATCCGAGATCATCAATAAAATTTTATTCGCCGGTACGGCATTTGGCAAAAATAGTGACGTAAGACTGTCATTTACAAATCTGGTAATCGTATTGCCATTTGTTTTATCTAACATTTTCAAACTTACTACATACCCTCGACTAGGGAAACATTCATTTAAGATTCCAACAATTAAACTTGCCACGTATCTTCCACAACTATCGGTTGTTTCATCGACAGCGAACCATAAATAATTATCTCCAATGCGATGTTTAATTTCGTTGTAAACTTGCTGAAACACTGGGCCTACATAATTTTTTCGGAGAGTACTTTCAACCGGAATATGTCGATTGCAGTGTTTTTCAAGGAATTCTTGAAGAGGGCCTTTCTCCAATTTTTTTAAAGGTATATTGGACTGGATCATCATTTTACATAAATCGAAATTAAACTGAAACTGCTCATCTTTTGTGGAAGTAGATGCAACAGATTCATGTATGGTCTGCTGTTTAATTTTAGAAACTTCAAACATTTTCTTCCTTTCTACATGAAGAGTCGTTCTGACATGTTGCGTCACGTTATATTTTTTATCACTTTGAATCTAAAACAACGTACATATACAGGATTAACAAAGGAAAATAGACAAAAAAAAATTAGTGGGCTTACGGTTTTCACACAAGCTCTGCAGAATATTTTGTTGTTTTCTAATTTTAATTCTGGAAAATCCCTTATCCACTCATTCTTTTAAAATATTAGTAATATTAGTAATATTACCAAAAAGAACTCAACATGTTACAAGGGAGAACCACGTATAACACTGTACTACGACAAATGCGATAGACTGATGGTTGTGAAATAAACGGTTCATTTAGTTAAAAGTTTCCATTAGAAAAATTTTAAGGTAGGTAGTTGGGTACAATAATCCTTTTTTCTAGAAAATCTTCAACGGTCTTGCCGCAAAATGCCGAAAACGAACATCTGGTGAAAAGCTTTAATTCATTATCAACGGAAGTAAGGATTTAAAGTCATAAAATCTATGGAGTATTTTTCCAATCCTATAATAAAATTTTATTACCCAAACGACCGGAACCTATTCACTTCAATGGTCAAGTCCAGGTAAAGTGCATACGATACGATACGGCTAACTAACAAGTATTTGTCATCCCGACAAGGCCGGCATTTGAACAAAATATGCATTAAAACTCATATTCGTCGAAAAAAGCATTAAATAAGCATATAAGTTTTAATATGCATAAAATTAAAAAAAAGACAAATAAGCATAAAAAATGTGTCAAATGACTCCAAATTGTATCATAGTTACAGATATAAAAAAGTTTTGAAGTGCTTACATTTTTCACAAAAAGCATTAAATCTAGAAATCCGCTCTCTATAGATCAGTATCGTGCACCCAGCGACGAATGAACGAACCATTTTGATAGATCCATGTTTCATCCAAATACACGAAAGCCAAATTTTCACAAGAATTTAGAAACTGTAAATATGTTCTCAAAAAAATAATTTTGGCTGCAACGACATGTTTTCGTTCACATAGAATGTTGCGACCATTTAGTTCCCTGTGTTTATAACCCATTGACTTAAGAATTTTGTATAATATGGTTCGCCCCCATTTAAATTCCAACTGTTCCCTAGAATATGCCAAAAGAGTATCTACAGTGAAATATTCGTTTTTTTTTCATTAAGTTGCCAAATTTGTCGTTGCAGGTCTTTCCGAAACGTCTAATTTGTAAACAAATCCGTTGGTTTTCGCTTGCCAGATAGTGATGTTTTTAAATTTTGGTCCCCTGTTGACAAAATTTTCGCCACAGTTGATGTTCGCACCTATGAGAAAAAAAATTAAAAAATATTTTACAGCGTATTTTTACATTATAGAAAATATGTTCGAGACCCTCATAATTACTTCTTCGGGACTGTCTGCTTACATTTTACATAAAAAGCATTAAACTTAGAAATCCGCTCTCTAGCTGATTTAATTATTCTTGGGAGAAAATTTTCCTTAACAACTTTACAAATGCTTTAATTGATCCTGCAGACATAAAAAAAGAAAATAAAAGAAATTAATATGCTAAATTGCTTCGGTTTAATTATTTTATTAACAAAATGAACACAAAACAAACATCTCTAAAACGCAAATAAGTCTTTTTATTCCTAGACCTAAAGTTGAACAGGACCCAGATTTAATCAAAAACCCCTTACGTAATAAAGGTAAACAACAACATAAGTGACATTACTATCATAAATAAAAATAACTGGTTTATCAATCCATTTTAATCTAGTGTATATATATAGCTAATAGAATTTTTCCGTCAAAGCGACAAAAATGAAGTACGTACAAACAATACTTTGTGCCTCTTTCATAACTATCAGCTTTGGTGCCAAATTGCGTAAGTCCATTTTTATCACCATACACATTATTCTAACACTTCTCAAAATTATAGCTTCTGGTTTTAAAAAATGTAACTTAAAGCAAATCTCTTCTAACATGTGTTTACCGCAAGCTATTGAAGGTGCAATAAAGCAGATTGATCGTCCTATAAAAAAATTGGGTTTAGTGAGCCTAGAACCTTTGGTAATACCATCCATGATTATAAATGCTGGTTCTCAAGTTATGCATGGTCAGCAAATTTTTAAAAACCTAAAACTGTCAGGTTTTAATGAAACTACTTGTGTCAAAGCCGAGTGAGTACTTATATTTAAAAAGCACACTGATTACCATACAATTTTTATAGATTCAATTATAAAACGAAATCGTTAAACCTAGAGTGCGTCGTGCCACGTTTTCGCATGGAATTTAATTATGAACTACATGGGAAAATTTTGAGGATGTCGGTTTACGGAAACGGAACGGGATGGACGGTTTTCGGTAAAACTGACACATTTATTACTTGCTTATTAATCTAAAATATGTAATTCTAGTCGATAATCACGTCGAGCTTAATTTCCAGTTTGGAGAATACGAAAAGCAGGGTAAAAATTATTTTAATATCGTCCATCAACAACTGAAGATGCGATTCAAAGGGATTGATTTTCGATTGGATAATTTGTTTGAAGGTGATGAAGAAATGAGCGATCGTCTTCAGAATGCAGTCAGAGAAAATGTCGTAGATTATTTTGACGACGTTAAACCGGGTTATGAAGAAGCCTTTGGGAAGGTATTTGCTCATATTTTTGAACAGATTTTGGAGAAAGTGCCTGTTTACGATATTTTTGGTTAAATTTATATAATGGGTAAAAATAAAATAAAAATGTAACGTTAAGAGTAACCCTCATTTCGTTCTCTAATTTGAAGCTAAATCAAGCCAAATCCTCTTACGTAAAGGTAAACAACTAACCAGATAGACGCGACAATTTCCAAAATAATTTAATCACTATAAATAAAATAACCGGTTTATAAATGCAATAATCCTATGACTGGTATATAAGTATAATGCAATTAAAATGTTTCAAACATTCTTCAAACCGCAGAAAATGAACTACTTAGTAAAAATAATAATCTGGGCCACTTTGGTAGCTACCGCTTTTGGGGCCAAATTACGTAAGTTTTTTATTATCTGCACTAATACTATTTTGAGGATTTTTAAAATTTCAGCTCCTGGTTTTAAAAAATGTAACTTAAAGCAAATCTCCTCCCAGGATTGTTTACCGAAAGCCATCGAAAGTGCAATAAAGCAGATGAACCGTCCCATAAAAAAATTGGGCGTACTAGGTCTACAACCTTTGGTAATACCATCACTGATCATAGATGCCGGCTCTCAGTTCTTAGTTGCTCAACAAATTTATAAGGATATGAAACTGTCGGGTTTTAACGAAACGTCTTGTTCGAAAGCTGAGTGAGTGATTAAATTTTCGACAGTCGCAATTAACAACGTATAATTTTTGACAGGTTTGATTATAAAAACAAAACCTTAAATCTGGAGTGCGTTGTGCCGAATTTCCGAATGGACTTCCATTATGAGATTCATGGGAAAGTAATGATGGTGACTATTTACGGAAATGGGACAGGATGGCTTCTTTTCCGTAAGTTAGATCACAATTTTAATTCATTATTATTTATTTTTTGAAAACAATTTAAGACAATAATGAGCTTGGACTTAGTTTTAAATTTGGAGAATACGAAAAGAAGGGTAACACATATTTCAATATTCTGTCCCAACAACTCAGGATGCAGCCCACGGATATTGACTTTGATCTTCAAAATTTGTTTGACGGTGATGAGGAATCGACTCTTCGTATGAAAAAGATATTAAAAGAAAACGCGTTGGATATTTACAATGAAGTTAGGGCTGGTTATGAAGAAGCTTATGGAAAAGTGTTTGCTTATGTTTTTGAAAAAATTTTGGAAAAAGTGCCTGTGCCTGAAATATTTGGTTAAAAGAACGGTTAATTGTTATTTTAAATATTCGGCTGTCTACGAAAACAAAAATAAACAATGAAAATTTGTTGCTAGTTTTTTCTATTAAAATCATCTTAGATAAAGGTAAACAACTCACATAATGATAATACTATTCAGAATAATTACTATAAATAAACATAACTTGTTAACCGATCCATTTTTATATTGTCAGGTGTACCTATATAAATATATGGCAAATAAAATTTTTCTAACCATTCCTCAAACAGAAGAAAATGAAGCTGTTACTAGCAACACTTTGGACTTGTTTTGTAGTTACCAGCTTCGGGGCCAAATTACGTAAGCCTGTTGTTACACTATCCACACTATTCTGACAGTTTCAAAATTCTAGCTTCTGGTTTCAAAAAATGTAACCTAAAGCAAATATCCTCGGACATGTGTCTGCCAAAAGCCATCGAAAGTGCAATAAAGGAGATGGATCATCCTATAAAAAAATTAGGTTTAGTAAGCCTAGAATCCTTGGTCATTCCGTCCCTGATTATAGATTCCGGTTCTCAGTATGTGGCTACTAAACAAATTTTCAAAAATTTGAAACTGTCAGGTTTTAATGAAACTTCCTGTTCCAAAGCTGGGTGAGTTGTGGCAGTTTTTGTTAATCACAGTTAGGTATATATTGTTTTTTGTAACAGGTTTAATTATACAGAAAACACCTTAAACCTAGAGTGCGTCGTGCCAAATTTTCGACTGGACTTCAATTATGAACTGCATGGCCAAATTATGATGTTGTCTGTTTATGGAAACGGAACTGGATGGAGTATTTTCCGTAAGTTTGATATATTTCTCGACTCATAAATACTTGTAAATGCTTCTAGGCGATAATCAACTTGGGCTTACTTTTAAACTTGGAGAATATGAAAAGAACGGTCAAAAATATTTTAACATTCTTTCCCAGCAACTTGATATGCAACCCAGGGATTTAGATTTTGATCTTCAAAATTTGTTTGATGGCGATGAAGAAGCGGCTGATCGGGTGAAGAAGATATTTAAGCAAAATGCGTTGGATATTTATCATGATGTTAAGAGTGGTTATGAAGAAGCTTTTGGAAAAGTGTTTGCTTATTTGTTTGAAAAGATCTTAGAAAAAGTGCCTGTGTCTAATATCTTCGGTTAAAAATCAGTGTTCATTAGTTGTAATGATATAAAATGTTGCCTAAAAGAATGTTGTTTTCTTACAACCAGAACTTACGTCATTTTTTTATACATTGCTTTCTTTCCTTATTTTCACTTTTATCTTTGGATCTTCTTTTTCCGTCATCTTCAGTATATATTGAGTGCGAGTTTATGTCTTTCAGTTTTTCGATGGTGTGAATGGGAGTTTTAAAATTAGTGTTTTTTAGATGACCGAACAAGAAGTAATCCAGAGGGGTTACATCTGGTGAACTTGGGGGGTACTGAATGTGTCAATTTAACGTCCACAGCCTCCACTGGTCTAAATGATTAATAAATGCACTGTATTATTAATGCAAAGTAGAAAAACTCAATTTTATTAAAAAACGACCAGCTGCAATGTAGACGTGTTACTTCCGAAACAGGGCAATGATGTGGGGACCATTTTGCCACAGATCAGTGGGAAATTTTGGGCGTGAAACTGTAAATTCATGCGGTCCCATCTACACAGTTTCTATAAATGATTATAGGGTCGAAGTAGGTCATGAATACGTGTCACCTCTCAGTTGGTAAATGTTGAAAATGTTCACCATTTTGTTCAAGGTACGTGTTCACTCTCTTTTTAATTTGAAAAATGTTCTGTCTGCTGAGGAAATTTTGGTAAAGTTGTTTGCAGATTCTGCTCAAGTCGTCTCAAATCATCAACAACTTCCTCAGACACTGAAGGTCTTCCACGAGATTTCCTTTTGTTGACACTCCCAATTCAAACAAATCTGTTGCGATATTTCTTGAATGATAAAATCACGGTATTTGATCAGATATTCTTGCTTACAAGCGGTTACAGAATACACTAACTCTTCGTTTACGAAGTTCCATTGCGACAACAAGACATAACAATGAAAGTTTCTTGTTCAACAGAATAAACCGCTAAAGATTCATAGCAGAAAGTTAAAAGATCAAATAAAGAAACAGCAGAAACTGATGGTCTAGTGAGACCCACACAATGCGTAATTTGGCCGAGAATGTAAGAAACCGAACTAAGAAAGAAAGAGAACTAAATAACCATTCAATTTCATTTGTCTACCAAAATGCCATATTTCTATTCGACATGTAGAGACCAAACAATTATTTCTCGCCTCCAAATTTCCCATATCAGATGCATACATGATTTTTTCTTTGAACGTAGGAAACCACTCATTTGTGCCTGCTGCATCACTCATCTTTATGCAAATCACCGTCAAACTCATCACCTTCCAGCGAATGTTCCCAGTCCAGTGCCACAACCACAGACGGCTAAAGCTACGTCCAACCCACGGCGTACTTCTCTATCTCCAAACTATAGGTATAGTGAACCAAGACCTATAAGGTTATATGGCCATCATAAAAGTAGTTGACCGCAAATAAATACCCCCTTTGTGTGGTTCGCACTAAGCTTACCGGTTGGCAATAAATCATCTTCTAAACATTTCTTGCTCATATTTAACAGGGCCGGCTTTCAAAGCGAGTGGTTATTTCGGAACCCTCAGCGGCTGCAGGTAGTAAAGAAATAGTGGAGTGGTGGATTTTCATATTTAGTGAAGGCCGCCCCTGAACGAAACACAAGAGCCGGTCGAGCTGCAGTGGACACGTTATTTACGACCCTAAAACCTTTTCTATTGTAAACAACTTAACTTCGACACAATGGGATGATTTTATGATGGCCATATAACCTTATAACTCTTGGTTCACTATATGTGTATTAGTGTTTTTTTTTTAAATTTCATCAAGTTGCCATTGAGTTTTCTTTTTTTTTTTAAGGCTTGTATGTGCTGAAATTCAAATTTATGATCGTCTAATCTAACCTCACATTTTCCAAAATTTTTTATTGACTCCATTTTCCCAACACTGTTATTTTTAGAATTACACTGCACTATTCAAAGTTGATATATGTGTCCTTGCAAAAAATGTTGATAACGTCATCACAAAATTGTGTAAAGAACAAATACAACTCGAAAATGCTGGATTTGCTTCATTGTACTTCAGGAGCGAGGGAAGTTCTGTCAAAACAACTTTCGACCAATTTTTAAGAAATGCAAAATCTTGCCGTGGCACCAAAGGTTTTTTTTTATATGAAACCTTCTCTGAGTCCCAACTGTCTTTTTAAAATTGTAAAACCTTATCGGGGGCGCTAAACGTCATTTTTTTAATGTGAAACTGTCTCGGGAGTTCCAACTGCCTTTTTAAAAATGTAAAACCTTCTCCGGGTCACCAAAGGTCTTTTTTTTTTAATGTGAAACCTTCTCGGGGGTCCCAATTATCTTCTTTAAAAATGTGAAACCTTCACCAATTGTCTTTTTTTTAATGTAAAACCTTCTCGGGGGCCCCAAATGTATTTTCCAAGAATGTGAAACCTTCTCGGGGATTCCAACTGTATTTTTTTTTAATGTAAAACCTTCTCGGGTGCCCCAAATTTATTTTCTGAAAATATGAAACCTCGGGGGTCCCATTCGTTTTTTTTTAAACCTAAAACCTTCTCGGGGGCGCCAAATGTCATTTTTTTAATGTGAAACTGTCTCGGGGGTTCCAACTGCCTTTTTAAAAATGTAAAACCTTCTCCGGGGCACCAAAGGTCTTTTTTTTAATGTGAAACTTTCTCAAGGGATCCAATAGTTTTTTCTAATAATGTGAAACCTTCTCGGGTGCGCCAAATATCTTTTTTTAAAAATGTGAAATATTCTCAGGGGTCCCAACTGACACTTTTTTTAAATTTGAAAACTTCTGGGGGTCCCAAACGTCTTTTTTAAGAATGTGAAACCTTCTTGGAGATCCCAACTGTCTTTTTTAAAATTGTAAAACTTTCTCGGGGGCGCTGAATGCCATATTTTTAATGTGAAACTGTCTCGAGAGTTCCAACTGCCTTTTTAATAATAATAATAATAATAATAATAATAATTTATTACAGCCCAACGAGCAAGCTCATATAGGGCAAAATAGTACATAATAACATTTGAATAATTTCACAATACACAAAAAAAAAAACATACAAGTTATTAGTAAGTAGACGTTCATGCTAATTGTGGTGTATAATTGTAACATAGATTTTTACACGTACAACAAAAAAAACGAAAGTTTTCAACAAATACGTCCAAGTGCGCAGCATTAACGTTATATAACCTAGTCATATTTAGTATAGGGGAATGCAAGTGTTGATTGGTACGTGATACCTGATTAGAAAATACAACTGGTTGACGATTATTAAGTCTAGGTACACAAAAGTTAATCTGAGAAAGAAGGTTACTGTCCTGAATAATGCCATGTAATAATTTATATAAAAAGGTTAAAGAGAAGTACTTCCGTCGATCTACAAGGGGTATTAAATCGAATTCAGCTAGCAGTAGTTTCTGTGGGTAATTACGGACTGGATATATCCCATGTTTCCTAAAGTATACGTACTTACAAAATCTTCTTTGGATATTTTCTAATGCGGAAATATGTATATTATAATATGGATCCCATACTAACGTACAGTACTCCAAAATAGAGCGAACATAAGCGAAGTACAATAAAAACATGCAATCCGTATTTTTGAAATCTTTTGTAGTGCGTATGACAAAACCTAACATCTTCAGAGCTTTACAGTTAATATTATTAATGTGAGGTACGAACGACAGTCTAGAGTCCATAATGATACCTAAATCTCTAAATTCAGTACATCTCTTAATCTCTACTCCTCCAATATTATAATTATATTCTATAACATTAGTTTTCCTGTTATATGACACAATACAGCACTTGTTAATATTTATGTCTAACTTGTGTATTTGACACCAACGAATTATTGCATCAAGAACTTTCTGCAACTTTTCACAATCCTGGAGATTATCAATTATTTTTGCTAATTTAATGTCATCTGCATACAAAAAAATACGACAATCAAAGTTTAGACATTTTACCACATCATTAATATAAATAATGAATAATAAAGGTCCTAAATTGGATCCTTGACAAACACCAGAATGGCATTCATACACTGGTGACCTATAACCTGAATATTCAACATATTGCTTTTGGCCACTTAATATCGATTTAAAAAGATTAACTAAACTATCGCATAATCCGAAATTATGTAACTTTTTCAATAGAATTGGGTGGTTTACAACATCAAAAGCTTTGGATAGGTCCATGTATACTGTATCTACCTGTTGTGTGCAGTTTAAAGAATCTGAGACAAATTGTGTAAAATTGCATAAATTCGTACATGTTGATTTACCTCGTACAAAACCGTGTTGGTGATCGGTTAACTGCTGTAATATATGGCTATAAACGTTATCAAACAATATGATTTGAAATAACTTTGCAAAGTTTGGAATAATTGCAACAGGTCTGTAGTTTGTTATCTCAAATTTAGAGCCGGATTTGAAGATAGGACATACCCTTGCAATCTTCCAACTTTCTGGGAAGACCTCCGTTTTTAAAATTAAGTTATAAAGATGTTGGAGGGGCGTGATAAGACAAGATATACAATCACGAATAAAAAAAGCCGGAATAGAATCAGCACCCATTGTAAAATTTGCTTTGATTTTCCGTACACATTTAGAAATATCCTTTTCATTTATAACAAAATTGTGTAAAACAGGTACATTTAAATTATTATCACAGATGTTATCACAGTCACATTTCGTATCACATTTCTTATTATCACACTGATTTGAACTTACAGATGAGTTACTATTATATTGTTTAAACACGCTGCTGAATAAAATGGCGAAGTTATTGACAATGTCCTGAGGATTGGCAAGTTTTTTCTCACCATGCGACATGACTCCGGGAATTCTTGACGATTTGTTTTTCTCATTTACAAAAGACCATAGCTGAGAGGGATCGTTTCTAATTTTCTCTTCCGCAGAATTTAAAAAATTCTGGTATTCTTCCCTTGCTGCACTTCTTATTCTTTGATTTAATTGCCGCGCCCGTTCTTTGTGTGACAAAACCTTGTATTTTTTATACATTTTCCAATGATACTTCCTTTGTATTATTGCTCTAACAATGTCGGTATTAA